TATATATATATATATATATATATATATATATATATATATATATATATATATATATATATATATATATATATATATATATATATATATATATATATATATATATATATATATATATATATATATATATATATAATCATATTAAAATAAAATAATAATAATAATAATCATATAATAATATTAATGATATTAATAATAATAATAATCATATTAATAATAATATTAATAATAATAATAATAATAAATAAGAAAGTAAAATAAAATAAAATAAAATAATAAAAAATATAAAGTCAGGGAGGTGGATTAATGAAACAGGGAGGTGATGTTAAGAAAAAGGTGTGTTGAGGTTCGAACCAATGACCTCTTGATTACCAGCGCGCTGCCTTACCACTGGGGTGGCTATACATCCGTTAACTTATGTCAAACCATAAATATATAACACAAATCTTGCCCTAAATATACTTCATCTTCAACCTCCAGCCAGAAGTCCTGCAACTTGTTCATATCTCAACCATTTGCAAAAATGTAAACATGAAAATTGCTCCATTTTTTCATACGAATCCAACTATATAAATATCATGAACTATAAATCAAAGATGAATGAGAATTTTTGAAAGTACCAAATTCTGACGTAATTATTTTCAGATATTCAATCCTAAAATTCTCCTCGCTCAATTAATATAAATGAAATCTATGGACATGTACAGCTTCAAGGCAATGATGTCTATATTTTATCTTCACAAATGCAAGCCTAACAATGCCTAATTAATGAGATAGAAGTTCAAGAAAAATACCTCAAAATTGGAAATCGTGAAATGCAAATGAACTTGATTCAAGGTATTGCAATGATCAGGTTAGCTTCTTCAAGTTCCCAGGAAGCTAATGCAATGGTTTGCTTGAGCAATGGATGGCTGGAATGGCTTGGAGAAGTCAATATGCAATGCTATGTTTTTGGTTATGGAGGATATGGTAAATGATGTTACAGTGATGAAACAGGGACAGAGATAGGTTACACTTGATGTAAGGGAGCTTTAGAAACCAAAAGGCCAAGAAACGCACGAGGGAAATGTGAGTTTGATGTTCAAGGTCAAAAACTGTGCAACAATGGTGATTTTGGGCAATTTCTGGTTTGAGAGAGTTTTGGTGTGTTTCAGGGTGCTTCAGCTCGTCCTCTAGCTCACAAATAGTGACTCTATTTATAAGCAACAAGTTTGGAGACTTGTCCTTGATCAGAATTCAAAAATCGCATGTTATGGCTCATTTTCTTGTTTTTGAAGCAAGCTTGACACACATTGTCCCAATGCATAGTACAAGGTTGTCTAGAGTGGTTGCAAAGTTTAAACATGTTTATCTGACTTTGTATGTTGAGTGTGTGCTGAACAAACAAGTTAGAGACTCAAGAAGAGTGGACTTTGTGCATAAAGCCACTTTTCCAAAATGGCAATGTTGCCTTTCTTCCTAAAATGGTATTAAGCATGAGCAATGCATTGAATGCTTGGATTAAAGCTTCTAGCAGCTGTGCAAAACATTAATTATGGAGTGGCAAACAAGTTCGAGGCCTGCAAAGCAAAGATTATGCAGCCTAGCATGGATTTGGTTCATGTGTTCATCAAAAATGACTTGTAATTCAAGTTTGAAAACCCTAAATTCCTCTCTTCGATTCTCCCTACTCAAGAATGATCTCAAGGAGTTCTTGGACATTTTGGAAAGCTTGTAATGTGCTCTATAACCCCTCTTTGAATCACTTTTTAAAATTCCCCAAGAAGCTATATGAAAAATTGCCATGAAGTTAGGTCAAAATCCTGCCTAAACTAGGGCAAAATTTCACAAAGTGTTTAATTTCAAGAACATGACTTTATGAATTAATAACTTCAGATCCAAGCACTTTTAAAGGAGTTGTGTAAAGCAATGTTGTAGATCTCATGGAGATCTACAAATTTCATGTTGAAAGTTTATTCTGAATCATCTTGCATCATGGTGAAAAATTTGCTCAAAGTTGTGAAAAAACATGAAGTTTTCAACACTTAGAAAAATTTCTAAGTTTGAAAACTTTGACTTTTCAAAATGAAATCTTGACTTTTTGATTTCTTGATGAATAAGTTTCATATTTTGACATGTTTTGATGAATTGTGATCTTTGACATTTGATTTTGACCAAAAAGTCAAAGTTTGACTTTTCAGTGTACAGTTGACTTTTGATCAGTTGACTGAAAATTCATTATCAATCCAATTGATCTTGAGCAATGTTTTGGGTCATGCCATTAGGTCAAAATGATGCAATTGAATTCTTGAGATCATTCCTCAAACCAATTAACCATTTGCTAGATCAAAAATCAGAAATTGCCATTTCTCAACCAAAACCCTAATTTTGACCATTTTGTCCTTTTGATGATTTGATCAAATTTCTTGAGGAATTGTGGTCTAAACTTGATAAAATGATACATATGAGTTTATAATGTTGATGTGGATCAAAGATTATGAAGTTTGACTGTAAATTGGCCCCAATTGACTTTTTCCCCAATACAGTTGATTTTTAGGTCAATTGCTCGATTGATTGAGCAAAAATGTGACCCAAGGCTTGAAACTTGACATGAGTAATCTTGGGGGTCCATAATGATCCATGAAAGTCATATGAGGGATTGAAAGTTCAATTATCCTTGTGCAATCTCAAACCCTAATTTTAGTCATCAGTGCTTAAGGAGGTGTCTTGAGTTGGTCAACCCTAGTACAGTCTTGAACCAAGAGAGATCTTTGTGAGAAAATATTTGATAAGTGAGAGGACAAATTTTGGGGTACAACAGCATGATGATAGGACTGTGCTACTTCTAAGGAGAGAGTAGTAATTATGGTTGCTTGTTGGATGCAACTATTTAGAGGGAGCATAATAGTCTGTCATACCTATTAGAGCTTCTGATGATGATGTTATTGTTAATATGGTAGGATGTCTTACCAGATGTTCTAACATCTTCCTATTGGAGTTGTGAGAAAATCCAATAGCGAGGTTGTTTTATCTTTTGTTGTTGTTGCAGCCTCTAATGTATGAACTTGGATAGTTTATATTTGGTATTTTGGATTTTCTGGTGATTTGGGTTTTCCCTTTGAGGGGGAGTCTAGATCATATGTGGCAGGGGGAGTTTGGACCTGGCTATGATGTCAGACCTCATGTCTGGACATTTGTTTTCCGGAGTATTGGAGATGGTCATTTGTAACTGCATGTACTCTCTAATGTATTGTTTGTTGCAGTTTGCACATAGTTTACATGTTTGCATGTAGCTCGTGTTGTGGTTTTATTCCTCTCTCCAGGGTTATTGTGCTTTGGTTGTTTTAGCCAAAAAAATTCAAAGGAGGAGATTGTTAAATCCATGGTTTTAGGTTTGGTTTGAATTCCGCTAAAACATGGCTATAAGCTGATATTGAGCAAGATGTCACAACATCTTGATCAACTGTCAGGACAGGTTCTGCTGTCATGTGTATTAGATATAAGTTGAGCCATATGTCCTAACATCTTTGCATGTTATGCAGCAAGCGTTGCTGTTTTGTTTCCTTGAAGATTTGATTGAAAAATATGATATTCTAGAATATTCTAGTACTCATACAGACGCAACAAATTAATAATATTTTAGGAACAAGTGCAAATTTGATTTTGTTCATTAAAATGATCTTTGAGAATTTTTAAGAAACTTTAAAAGATTTGTTCATATTTTTATGTGAAGATCTTGTTGTAATAACCGACAAAAAAATATAGAATTTCTACCATTAATTTTTATCATAAGACGAAAATATAACAAAATAACCCTAATTAATGATACAAAGATTCTAAGTTCTTGACTCACTTTAGACGAAGGGAAAGTGTTAGGCACTCTTCATCTACCTTGTTTACAAGGATACTAATGTTTATGTTTGAGGTTTAAGAATAGGGTTTTAATTTTTTAATTAGGAGACTCGACATGATTTTTAAGTCGTATGCATATGTATCCTCTTATGAAGAAACAAAGTCCCAATTCGTAGTTAATAGTGTTTGGTTGGTGTTTTTTATAAGATTGCGTAGAATTGCTTTCAAATTTATCCTTGAACCTTGTCTGAGTTTGAAAAGTGAGTGATCGTAGACGCATTTCGCAGTTAAGTTTGAAAGCAAAGCTATTTAATCCTTTTTGGAAAATGTCTTGAATTTTATTAAGTTAGCGGAAAAACTGTTTTTGTTGTTGGTTAGCCGTTTTAAGTTTCATTGGTCGATAAAGAGTTGATCTTTATTAAAATTCGATCGCACTAGGCGAAGAAATTGACTTTAATTCGATTATCGCATTGAGCGATAGCGTTTGATTATTGCATTGAGCAAAACCAATTTTCACGTGAATTTTAATTATTTTAATGTTGAACAGTTAATTGATAAGGCGTTGAGCGAACCAAATAATATAATGAATGTAAATCTATCAATCCTATTATTTGTAAAAATATCTGAATTAATTTAATTTGAAAAAGATGATTTAAAATCATGTATAAAGCTAATAATTTATATACAAGGGGTTTGTATTTATTAATTCCAAATTATTTGTAATTTAATATTTTCTCAATAAAATAAACATTTCTAAATAAATAATACTTTGGTGCTTTTTATGTTTTATTGTTTTTGGAGTTTTAGAATTTTGAGATTTAGAAAACTAAGCAAACTAAAAACAAAAAGGTGTGAATATTAGCAAGGGATGGAGTGAATTCTAAAAGCTAAAAACACTGTTAGGCCCAAGCCCATACTAAACCCTAATCTAAATATATAAAACAATTAATAATAAAAAAACACCTGTTATTAGGGAATTTAGCGCCGCTAGTAGTACATGTTATCAGCATCCCATATAACAACACTTTTCCTATGAATAAAACAAAAAAAAAAAAAAAAAAAAACTCTCTTCCTCTTTGTTAACCAAAGCATGACCCATATTTCTCTTCTTCTCAAATCACATATTATAATCAACAACATCAAAATTAATTCCAGGAAACAAGAAGCGATTTTTACCTGAGGCAAGATCTTAGTGGGTGGCAGCGAGCTACACAGCGGCTGGCTCTATTATTGGTGTCGCGAATGAATGGTTTCCGGCAAGTTACAGGGCGACGAGTGAAGGAGATGTCCGTGGAGCAGCGGTCGCGGTGGGTTTGAGTTCTAAAGCGGAAGGATCGGAAGCGGAGGCTGGGGTCGGAGACCGTAGCGGTTGTGCAGCACGCAAAGAGGTTGTCGGCGGAAGGAGGAGTTCGAACAGCGGAAAACGGAAGGATTGGCGGAGGAATCTTGTCGCATCTCACGAATTTCTTCAAACCAGTTTGGAGATCGGTCACCGACTTATAGCCAAGCTCTCCCGGTGCATAAGAGAAATATTATAAAAAAATGTTGTTGTCTTTGATTATTGATGGATTTAGTGTTGTTAATGGTGCTGGAAAGTATATGTGAGTGAATGTGATATGCGGGGGAAAATACTACATGTGAGAAATTTGGCACAAAATTTTAAAAGTATGTGATTCTATAAAGTGTAGTTCGCACAGCAACATGAACATAAAGTGATTAGGATTGAATATGTTTTTTTGGGAAAAAACATATGTAGAAGTTGATTTGGAAATATGTATAAAAAGTGGATGTCTCCGAAAATAAAGATTTATTTGTAATATGTTAGTGTGTTGGATGTTTCGAATGAGAAAAAGGCATGGATTTTAAAGACAGTACCATCTTAAAATTAAAGAAAGTAAAACTGAAAACAAAAAGGGTGAGAGGTCTCGTATTAAATTTTCGGTCAAAACAATAAAATAATATCAATAATAAAGAATTTGTAAAAAATTGTATGAAAATTTTCGGTCAAAACAATGAAATAATATCAATAATAAAGAATTTGTAAAAAAATTTATGAAATTTGTGGATGGTGAGAATTATGGTTGTTTGTTGGTCATTGTCTATTAAAGACAACTACAGAGTTTGTAAGAGAGATTCGTAAATCTTCGTGGCTGTCTCTCAATTGTAAACTTAGGGTTATTTATAAGTGAGAAAATTAGGTCAAATGTCCAAATAAGGAAATTATCCAAACAGTAAAAAGTCCAAAGTTATCTTGATCATCAAGATTAAGAATATGAACATATTTGTGTCAGGTGTAAAAAAAGATTAAAAGATCAAATAACCAAAAAAAAATCCAAAGTTTCACATTTCATATTTGTGTCCAAATTGAAAGTATATGAAATGTGAGTAGATATTTGCAATTAAAAAAATATAAATAACTTAAAAGTAAACTATTATATTTTTAAATAGACTTGAAAACAAATATTTATAAAATCCAAAATGTTAGTGTAAATAAACCAAAAGAATTTTAAAACCCAAGTTTGAAAATAATTTCGATTGTAGCACCAAGGCGGGAAAATTTAGGGTATAACACTTACAGCTGATTTAAAAATGAAGTTTGGATTTGATTTAAAGAGTACAAGCTCATACTGCAAGAATCTATAAATAAGGACTTGCTATGACCTAAAATAGCAAGCATTCACATTGAAGAAACTGTGGTTGCAACATAAAGATTAAGATTTTGGGAGTCTTTTAAATTCTTAGTGTTTGTGTTCTTTGTATGTCACTCATGTATCTTTTGATGCATTGAGGTTGACTGATTGTTACTTGATTTTATATCAAGTTATTATTCTTACTCATGAACTTTTAAGCAAGGGGTTGAGTATTGTTCTTGGTTGAAGCGTTTAAGAAAAACTAAGTATTGTTTATTTGAAGTGTAATCTTCTATTTCGTTCTTTAAGTTTAGTCACAAGGTTTGTGGATGTAGGTATCACTACGGTGATTGAAAGTTAGATGAGGATCTCATATCTAGTAGTGTCTAGGTAGAAGTTGCACAAGATAGTGATTAGGCGAGAAGTTGTAAATTAGGGTTGTTCTAGCTTTGAACTAATACTATCATAGTAAATTTCCTTCCTGACTTGGTAGCCTCCAGAATAGATGACGCTGCACCGAACTGGGTTAACAATTGATTGTGGTGTTTAATTTTCTACAATTTATCTTTCTGCACGGTCTCTTATTTTAGTAAGTTTCTATCAGCAGATGGTGTTATAACATCTGTCCTGATATTGTGTTATGTGTTGAGACATCAGTCTTAATATTTGTATTGCAAGTGTTAAAATTTCAATAAGCACAGTGAGAAATGTGTTGAGCAACTTGATGGAATCAGGATGAGTCCATAATATATTTCGAATTGTGACTCCATTTCACACACTTTGTACCTAGAAATATAGTATTCATCATCTAGAAGCTCCAACAGTTGTTTCATTTTAGTTATTCGTCCTCTTATTACATTGTTGTTTACTGCACGAACATTGTATATTTGTTTGATATTGACACATTTTGAGATCTTATATATTTCAAGTATGTTTTTGGGTGGCACCATATTCAATGTAATGTTAGAAACAAGTTCCTTCACCTCAGGATTAAGACAACACACAATGAGATGCATAGCTAACTTGTGACACAAGTAATGATTATGTATAAGAGAAACCACATTAAATTTCCTTGTACTATTCTCCTTACGATATCCACTCACCTTCAAAAGACAATCACACTTTCTTGATCCGGTGTAATCCTCTTTCAACTTCTGATTATGTTGTTGGTACTTGCCACTTCTTTTGCATTTCATTGTTACAAATAAAAGTCTTATATTTTAACAATTATAAGACTTCATGATTACAACACCGAACTCAAGTTTGGTGGCCTCCATGCGGATCCATTGTAGTATATATTCATGCTCAACAAACTTCTCTTTAGTTGTAAAATTTTTCACAAATATCTACCTCAACAACAACAATCGGCTTAACATCTACCTCAACATCAACCGGTTTAACATCATCTTCGATATCACCCAGTTTAACATCATCTTCTACTTCATCTTGTTTAACATCTACATACATATTAGTTTTAAAAAATGTATCAGGGTGCACCATATCTACAATCAAGCATAACAAAAAAAAAGATTTAACATTCAAATTGAACTTCAAAACAATACCAAAATGCATATCTATAACACATGCAACCTAATTCAGATCTGCATCTTCGGACTCAACGTTCATTTTTACACAATAAAAATTAGATTAATGCAAGTAATGTGGAAGAAAATACACGTTATTTATCTTAAATTATAGATTTTTTTTGCTCCTTTTTATGTGGTGAAACACAAAAATATTGTTTTGAAATGCAAAAGTTGATTGAGAATGAAATAATTTTTTTAAGAGTTTTGATAGAAAAGTGGTGTTTGATCAATAAGAAGAACATTAAGAGTGATATTTTATTAATTTTCCTACCTTACATTTCTGGAGATGCAACTCGGGAATTGTCACGAAATTGAACAAACTAGTTTAATCAACTAAATACACCATCAATGACAATCAATAATAATTCCAAAGATACATCTCTAAATTAAAAAGTGGATCTTAATGCATGTTTGATTTAACTTTTGGAAGGACCAAAAGTAATTCTAGAGGTGTAGAATTGATTATGTATGATTTTGAGATGTTTGGTTAGACAAAAGTAGAATTGATTCTGTCTCCAGAGTTGATTCTACTTGAAGCTAAAATTTATAATTTCTACTTTTAGAATTGATTCCGAATGACACTGAAATTTATTGTTCAATTCACTTTTATATAAATATATCTAAATATAAATTAATTATATCAAATTTAATTATGATAAAATCAATTCTGACGAACACAATTATTTTAGAATCAATTCTCTCTAACGTGAATCCACACGAACTTTTAAAATGTTGTATATGTACACGGGCTTCTTAATTAATCTGCTTTTAGTTTTTATTTTTTTCGTCACTGAATATTTATTATTTCTTTCTAATAGTGACGCATTCTCTCTCACCGTCTTAATCCTCACAGCTAAGCAATTTTGCAACCACTTGCACTTAACATCTACGTGTGTATATATGGACGCAACTTACCAAATCATAATTATCATCAAGTGAAAATTAACTACATCAATTTCAATTTCAATTTTGTGGCTTCAAATCTTTTCTTAATTTTATTTTTCGTATCTCCTAGCTGCAACCACTTATAATAAATATTAAGCTTAATTTCTTTTTATTTAATATTATATATTTAAAAATATTTTCTGTTTTAAAAGTGAACTTTTTTATCCATCAAATATTATATTTGTTGCAATTTTAATCTAAATTCTTATTTTTGATCCTCCTACTCGGTAAATATATGTGGAATTTCAAATGCGGCATTAACGGCTTTGTGTAATTAGACATGTCAATTTATAAGACTTTTTAAAATTGAGTCTAACTAAGATTAAAGGCCTCCAAAATTTAGAATCTAAAATTTAAGAATAAATATCCTTAAAATAAGTAAAACTCTTAAGGCCTCAAAAATCAATCTTTCTTAGGTTGTTGGAAAAGAAGTCGTTGGAGTGGTAGTATCTATACAAATGTTTATCCGTTTATTTTTTGTATTAATCGTTATCTTTTTAATCTTTGTAGTTTGTACTAACACAATAATCACAGTATGAACTTCGAGAACATTTTCTGAGTAATAAAACACATAGGGTCTTTGTATACGAAGTGTAGGTGATTTTTTCTTCATTAAGGCATAGATGTTTGCTAGTGTTGAATATAGATGATTATTTTTAGTGGATACAAAAAACCATTCTTATCTTGAGACGTAGATGATCAACTTTATTAACTTCAGAGACGATCATTCCCTTTCTTCTAAGGGAAGCTGATTATTTCTTTTGTCTCAGTGAAAATGATTATTCTAGTCAATATTATTGACTTTGGTCCAAATAATCATTATTTTCTATATGGCATAGATGATCATTCTTTTTAGGGTAGATGACCATTTCTTCTTCTCCAGATGATCATGTCTTTATTTCTGGTAGATAATTTCAAATATACTACACATGGAAACAAACACATTCAAGTTATCTTTGTATTTGTTAACACCGATCACTTGAGATTAGTGATTGAGAGAAAGTGGGAGGAATTCTCATATTTAGAAAGAGTCTGAAATAGAAAATCACTAGGATTAAGAAGAGGCAATGAACAACATGTGGTTGTTGTTCATAGAAGACTAAGAGTACTAATTCAAAGTAGTGAATTTCCTTTCTTTGATAGAGTGCTCTCCAGACGTAGGTGTGGTTTCAGCAAATTGAATTACCAATCTATTGTGTTCTCTTTATTCCTTTTTTTGTTTCATCATCTTGTATAAGCTAAGATATTATTCATTACTATCATATTGGTTTATCAAGTTAGACCAGTTGTCACAACATCGTGTCTAACACTATCCTTTGGGAAAGATAATATCATTAATGCCATATATTGATTAACAAGAGATGCAACGACCATTGCATTATCTGCACACATAAGCTCATTAGATTATAGGTGAAATTTTGCTATGCAGATAACAAAATATCCTAACACATGTTTAAGACATTGATCTCCATTTAACATCACAAGAATAAGACAAAACATACTGATATAATACTTATCAATCCAAAGTCATGACAGATGTTCCAATATCTTATATGACACACCGATTAATCGAGAAACAAAATTGAACAATGCAGAATGATAATAACACAAAGATATGATGACCCAGTTCGGTGTACAATAACACCTACTATAGGGGCTACTAAACCAGGAAGGAAGTTCACTATCAATAATATTAGTTCAAAGCCTAAACAATCTCAGTTTACAACTTCTCGTCTAATTCTTACCTAATGCAACTTCTACTTAGGTCCTCCCTAAATATGAGAAACCACCATTGCACTTCCTAAATTACCTCAGTGATATCTAACAATCACAACCTCTGGTGACTGCTTCAAACTACTTGAAAGACACCTATTTCAAACAAAGTTAGCCAAGACTCTTGACTAACAAACACACTTAGATTTGCTTCAAAGCTTCACCCAAGAACAATATATAATTTATTACCTAAAGGCTTCTGAATCTATATAGACACAAAGTCTACCATAATGTATCAAACTGATACAAATGGTGACTTATAACACAAGAAAGTAAACGACTCTCAAAACCCTAAACCCTTATATTTTCTTTACAAAAGTTTTTCACAAGGATTGGTTAAAAAGCCTGAGGTCCGTGTCTTCCTTTTATAATCTTCAGTGAACTGGATTTGGGCTTCACATATGCAGCTGTATATGGCAGAGGCGCTGCAAAATTATCTCCATAAAAATAGGACTCCCATAATTTGTTTCCTAATTTTTCTCCACAAATAGAAACTAATAAGACTCCTTGAAATCAGCTTGAATCTCTTCAATCTTCAACCTGAGCGCCACATAGGATAGCATCATATTCTAGAATATTTTGTATCTATAACAAACAAAACTAATCTAACTGTCTAGCTGATCATAGTCACAATGTCGAATGATTCTGCATATAATATATTTATTCGACATGATTCTTCTGATGATAGAACTTATTTATTCGACATGTTTCTCTTCACATATTTTGACATCTTGTTCAATAACTAGTTTTACCAAAATTAGTTAAATCTTTAGAGCTTTCAATCTCCCTCTTTTGGAAAATTTTGGCTAAAACTCCTTTTGTACAATAAACCCAGGAACAAAAATTCAGGAGCAGAAAGTTCTAAACTCATTTCAGCCGGAAGCTTTTAATATTTCTGCAGATGAGGAAGAAGATAACCAGAGCACACATCTGATCATCCAGTTACTCCCCTTAACCCATGAACTAATTCTTGTCACGAAGGAATAAATCTTCCTCTCTAGAGGCATAATAGAACCCTTAAGAAGAAACAAAAATTTTACCCTACGCAGCCAAACACCAACCCAGATAACTCAGAACACGGGACACAACTGTGTTCATAACTCAGATCACAAGACTCAAATAGAAACTGAGACATGACTCGGACATGATGTTGGGATATCCTGTTAAACATCCTTGCAAAAAATTGCAAGGATAGACACAACACTAAAATGATGACCACCAATATTCCCCCTATTTAGCCAGAACTTGAAAAAAGTACTTGAAACAGACCCCTACCCATACTGTACTCACCCAAAAACAAATAAAGGCCATAAGTTCAAAACCCAGCAAAACACAACTTTATCAGAAGGAAAGAGATAACCTATTTTTATAGTCAAGCAAAAACCTAAGAAGTAACGCTTCTAGTTTGAAACAATAGTCTTAGTCAAATAAGGCAATAAATTTGGAAGAAAGTTTCACCACAAATAAATATGCATCGTCCAAGTTAGTGTTGAATGTTTCTTCTTTAACCAACACTGTTCACAAATAGATATTCATGCCTTTATTTATTCGGAACTGTTTCACCTTGAAGTTAAAGTTCCAATAAAAGCACATGCATGGTCAAAGGTACGTGTCGCAATTCCACCTAATGCGTATTCAAATGCACCATTCACAGGAACCACTTAAAGATCTACATAAAGCCAAGTTCTGAACAATGTCCTGACATCTATCCAGACATTGTTTACTCTCGCTTGTCTTCAAAACAACCAACACCTTTTTCAGCATTCAACCATAGATTTTTCAGACTAGGGCCATAATATAATTGAATAAAATTTCTCTAGGAAATACTCATAGACATTCACTTTTCAAACATAATCACAATGTCTTCCACTAGATCCCATACGTACTACTTTCATAGAGAAAATCTATTTATCTTGACTTCAATCTACAGAGAAAAATGAATTCTCAAAAGAATGACTCTCTGATCACACCTAAGAAGAATGACCATGTTTTGATTCAATCCACTGATTTCCCAATTATATAATCAACCTCAAACTGCCAAGTCCTCAATAAACTGCACTGGTTAGAAAGTGTCAGAACATCTTGTCTGGCATCACATTCTCACACGAGGAACTTCAACCACAACTTGCTTGGCCCTCAAGCAATCTTTATGAAGACTGCACTTCTCTATCAACATATCCTAGGAAGATTTTTAAT